TGGCGACCATGTCTGCCACCACCCTGTATCAGCAAACTGTCCGCTGCCCACCAGAGGGGATGGGACAGAGAGCTCAGGGACAGGGGGGAAGAGGCATCCCATGGGTTTTAGGGAAGGCAGCTGGAGTCAGGCCGCAGCAGCATCCAGTCCTGCTCCTGCTAAGGCAGACACAAAGCTCCATTTCTTCCCTTTCCAGCTCCAGTCTTGGCCTGGACCATGCCCTAAAAATACCCCAGACTATTTATTCTGTCACTGGAGGGAATGATTGCAGGAGAGCTGCATCCTCCTTCCCTTGGGGGCGCACAACTGGGCTTATGGCACTGCTGTGTGATGGCTCAGAGCCATTTCCTTCTTTTCTCCCCACAGCTTAGTAAATCTCTTCTGCTGGTCTTTTTAAAAGCCCGGTGGAGTCATTCCCTGTGAGGTGCCCCATGGAGAGCTCCAGCTCCTGCTGATGGACCAGCGAGGAGGGTGTTGGGCAGCAGAGGAGGCTTGGGGTGCAAGGCGGCAGGCGAGGGGCCGGGTGCAGGGCTGGCAGCAGCCGTCCCTGTGCCAGCCAGAGCTACCAAGGGTGAGCGAAGCCAGGCAGCGTCGCGGGCAGGTCCAGGCATGGCCTCTGGGACAAGAGACCCAGCTGGGCACTGCTGGGCTGAGACCTTTCACTCTCCCATTGCAGCGAGGAAGGAGAGGGCAGTGGAGACCCTGGGAAGGGGCTGTACTGCAGGCAGGGATATCACTGCTCGTGCTCAGGTGTTGTGCTTGGATGAGGCCCTGGATGCTGCGTAGGGAAAAGCAAGCAAATGTGTCATCAGGGAAAGCCACTGGAGCACGCTGCAGGCCTGGAGGCCACTGGCATGTTTTCTCGCTCTCCTCAAGGGAGGTGGGATGCTCACGGGGCTGAGCTGAGCCCTCGCTGTGCTGCGAGGCAGCCCTGAGAGCGCACAGGCGGCGAGGGGCTGCAGACCCCTGCACTGCCATGGGCCCCGGCCCCCATGGCCTGGTGGGAGGCTGCAGCAAGCTGGGCACTTCTCAGCATCCTCCTCGTCTTCCTCCCAGCCTCCTCCCATGAGGTGTTGGCTGTTTCTCAGCACCAGGCCCTCTCCTCTTTCACATGCTCAGGGGTGTGCATCTTCCAGAGGAGGCATCGGAGCGATGTGTCCATCTTGCAGGGCTTTCCTGAAATCAGGTATGCCAGCCGGAGCCTGCAGTACTTTCAGGCCATGGGGTGTGCTTGCTTAGTGGTTAGAGCCATGCATTCGTTGGCAGAAGCCCCAAATGTTACCCTCAACCTTGCCACCCTGCGATCTTTTGGGATGTCACTGCCCTCTGTGTCCTCCTCCTCCTCCATAGGGTGGGTATTGGGCCATGTGGAAGTGTATTGGGACGGTGCAAACCATGGCTCTGGGTCAGGGTTATGATGCCGCAGCAAGGCAGAGCCTGCTGGCAGCGAGGTGACTTGGCACATGGCACAGCCGTGAGCAATGCGAGTGCCTGCGTCCCCACAGCTTGCCCTGTGTGGGGCTGAGCTGGGAGCTGCTGTCGGGGACCAGGGGCTGCCCATGGCCAAGGGCTGTCCTGCTCCTGGGCGGCCCCATGCAATCACCAGGGACTGGTGGCAGGGTCCCATAGTTAGAAAAATCATGCTCCATGAATGCTGGTATTGCGGGACTCTCCCTTGGGCCAGGGGTGGGGCCAGTACATGCGCGTGTGAAGCCCCCCAGCAAGCCCCAGGCTCCAGCACCAAGCAGGACCCAGCCGATGAGGGGAGTGATGGGAGCCAGGTGCCAACATGGGAGACTGCCAAGATGTTACCGTGTCCCTTCCAGTTCTTGTTTCCAGCACATTTGTTGGCAGGAGCAGAAAACCTCATTTGGAATAGCTCAGCGCAGTGCTTGTGCTTGTGCTGAAAATCACTAACAAGATGTACTTTAGAGCAGCGTTTCTTTCTCCAAAGGCTTCTTTTGTGCGCTAGGCTTTTGCACATGACCCACCAGAGATGCTTGGTGCTCCTAGGGTACATTGCAATTATGCAGCTCTGAGCAGCCCAGCCCCAGACTGTGATCTCTTTATGTTAATTAAAGCAATGGCTCGGACAAACAGGTGACAAATCAAGAGCTCGCTTTTGGGCCTTGCTTTCAGGGTAGCGCCATGCTGAGTTTCTGGGCCCTCTGCATCCCCAATTCCCATGCCGCTCGGCATGGTGAGCCCCGCAGCCTGCTTGGCGCGTGCTGCTCGCACTGTCGCAGCAGCCTCTGCTGCAGGTGACCAACTGGATCCCCTATTCCTGCACAGGTGATTTGGGAACGTGATTAACCCCAGGTCAGGGGGGTGTAGCAGGCTGCCCTTTGCACCTGAGGACCCTCTCCTGGCTGTCCAGGTCTATGTCTCCCTGTTTGTGCCTGTATGTGTGAGTGCATACGGCCCTTTCAGAGGGTCCTTTCCCTCTGCGTGGGGATGCCCCAGGTGCGGGAGCACAATGTGGAGATTGCAGGGCTGCTGCTGCTCCAGTGTAGAGGTGGCTGGGACGTGATGGTAGCGGCTTGGCTCTGTGCTGGGCACTCCCTCTGCCAGGCAGCGCCACGTCCTGGGGCCGACCTTGCTACGGCAGATCATGTTCCTGCATGTCCGTTACCTCGACTCATTCTGCTGCCTGCTTCTTGCAGCGCCCGGGCCTGGCCTGTGCCCCATGGTGGGTTGGCAAGTCCCCGCAGACTGTCTCCTGCCCACAAGCCCACGAGCCCTTAGGCTGCTGCAGTGTTGAGATCTGGGCTGTTGTAAATCCTTGGGTGCAAGATCCAGATTCCTAAGGCATAGGGATCCCATACAGCAAAGGGCGCTGGGATGTGTCCACTTCAGGGTGGCTTGCTCTGCAAACTGCCCAGGGTTGGGAGGGGTTGGGCAAAAAGTTGCAGCCTTCCTATAGGAGAGCCGCTCTCAGGCTCCAGCCAGGGGCAGTGATGCACTGAAATGCGAGTTCTCAGGTCTGCAAGGGAATACATGCCTTGAGGCAGCCTGGCTCCCGAACAGATGGCGGCAGAGGAAATCTGGAGGCGTAAAGGCAAGTTTAGCATGCTTAAGACAGATGGGAGTTCTCCCAGAGGTGGTCAGCCGCTGTCGCCCTTGCTCCTGCAAAGCTCTGGCCTGGCCCAGTGCAGCAGGTTGATGTCACTTCTCACACCTGGTCACCTTGCTCCAGATTAAATCGGTGCATGCTCTGCTTCCTGTGGGGCTCAACAGGCAGCGGGACTGTTCTCCAGCATGCTGTACGTGCACACATGCACATGCACATGCATGCCCACAATCACCCACACACATACTCATGCACACAGCCTTATGTACACACAGATGCATGCACACCCTCATGCGCATATGCACAGACGCATGCACATCTATGTGCACACACACCTGCAACCCCCCATGTGCACACCCACCCACATGTATGTACACCTACATGCATGCTCACACACATGCCCACACAACTAACACACACACATTCAAACCTACACGCGTACACTCACAGCCCCACATGCACGCATGGCTAAGCGCACACACATGCACACATCCATGCATGTGCACCTGCACTCACACACAGCCCTACACGTGCAGACCCCCCCCCACACACATGCACATCTATACATGTGCACTCCCATATGCACTGCCCCATGCGCGCGCGCGCGCGCGCACACACACACACACACACACACACACACACACGCACACACACACACACATGCACACACACCCACTCTCTGCATGGCTGCAAGGAGAGCACAGCAAAGTCGGCCCTGGGGCAGAAATCCCCTGGAAGAATACTCCATAGTGGGACATTTCCCCCTCTGCCGCAGGCACATGGGGCTTCCCTTGCCTTTCTGGGGTCAGGCCACATGTCCAAGCCTAGGTAGGCCACATCTGTCCCTGCCATGGGGTCCATCCCATATCCTCAGCTCAGTAGTGCTGCTCGAGCTGGGCCATTCCCTTTCCTGTTCCCGGTTTGTGGCACCGCTTGTCCCCCACGCTACAAGCACTCATCCTCTCTGCCTTCCACTTCAGCATTTCTTAGCCCATTCCACCCATTAGTTATCCCCATTTCCAGCCCTCATGCCCCGTTTGGTGGGCTCCTGCCTCCCCCAGCTCTGGGCTTACAAATTTAACAAGTTTTTTACCCTTTTTATCATCCCAGGGTCAATGAGGGCACTAGCAGCACAACCCCAGGCTGCTCCTGGGCTGCCAGCTCTGCACAGCCTTTGGCTTTGCTAGCAAACTAACGATGCTTCACCTTCCCGGGCAGCTTTCTCACCCCTGTAACACAGGATGAGTTTTCTTGGCTTGCTCAGAGCTTTGCTAAGCCTCCTGTGGCCTCTGCCTGCACCTCGCTGGGGCTGTGTTTGGGTTCTCTAGCTGGTGGCAAGGGAGCTCAAGTCTGGCTCTCTGCAGGTTGTGCAAAGTCGGTGAGGGTCGGTGTATGCCCAGTGCCGTCCTCCCTGCTACCTGCAAAGCCCCCTGGAAAGCGGGTCTGCTGGGGCCGTAATGGTGGTGGCATGGAGGTGGCACTGTGTGACTGTGGTGGCCACCAAGGGGCTGGGCATGGCCTCTTGGGGGGACCTCAAGGATATTTGCCTGAGTCTTCTCTGCTTGTTGCCCCTGCCCTTCTACCCAGTCGCCAAGGGCACCGCCGGCAGCAGCTGTGGGCAAATATGTGGGCGCTGGGGG